TCATACTAGGACCAGCATCAAATCTGGTTGCCATGCAAATTGCCACAGTCCCGGAGACAATTCGAACTCTTGCTGGCCCAATTGCCATGACGGCAAAGATGGTTGCCGACGAAGTCACGCGAGTGACCAAATCAGTTCCTTTTCTTGTTCGTCCTCACGGGACCAGCAAACCTGGGGCGCCATACCAGAACTTGCATGCGCTCTTCCCTAGCGAATCCACGCTCCGACCTGGATTTCGCCTCTTCCATGACTCCGGAGCTGCAAAGCTCTTCCAACCTCATCGAAAAATAGTTCAGTGCAATCGATGTCTTGGCTTCCATGCCTCTTGCGGTTGCTCCCGCGCTCCGGCTTGCTGGAAATGCGGATCAAAAATGCACTCGGAAACGGAGTGCAAAGCCCCCACACGGTGCCGGAATTGTGGGGGACCTCATCAATCGGACTCGCGGTACTGCAAGCCAGACTCAGCAAGTTCGGCCCGGTGAAAAAAGAGCAGCTTGCGATGATTCGCAAGGTCGAGCGGAAAAATCACGCAGATTTTACTCGCATCAGAGCTGAAGCCGAAATAACCATTCAGACGATTTACGGCGCGAAGAATGACGTCTATATGTCGGACGGATCGGGTTTTGGGATTCTGGGATCCGAAAAGGAGGTTTAAGGTTACGGCCAGCCTAAGTGAAGTCGTCGAGGCTTCAACACACTAACAGTAGGACACCAGATGGAAAAAGGGTGCCTGCAAGCTCATCTTCTGCTCTCAGCGAAGATCAGAAATTGACACTTGGAAGATGTGACAGGAAAAGGAACGGGTGAGAAGTGTGGGATCCGGACCACATGAAAAAAAAATCTTCTAATTTTGATTTCAGTCTTTGGCTTTTAGTTTTGATTTTAGTTTTTGATTACAGTTTTGTTGTTAACTTCATCACTTTTTTGAGGTTCGCGCGGTTGGAATGAGTTGGGCCTGTACGCAGTAATCCTCGCCGGCTCCACCTGTCTTTGTCCCATTGTGGAAAAATAGCATTAGCTTAGGACAAAAACAATAAAACAAACAAGAAAAAACACCATCTTTGGTCAAAAGCGGCACCACGTTCCACGAACGTTATTTCATCGTTTTAATTACTGCTATTATCTTAATCGGCACATCTTATCCGATTCCCCGAATTTTTTACGTTGCGCTTCGGCATGGCGAGTTGGGGGACTGGAAAGGTAGATTTCACGGCTGGAAAATTTTTCACGGCACCACCACCACCACCAACGGATAGCGGAACAGCCGCAATAAGACTTGTAGAATTTCTCGCGAAATCCACAGGCATGAAATTGGATAAATTAAAAACAATTGCTTATTATCTAAATAAGGTTAGAGACAGACTGGTGATTGCAGGAACTGACGGATCTGCGACACCGATGGTCGAGACAGATGAGGCGCTTAACGCCTTCATAGCACACGCCAAGATGTTACGATCGAAGCTGACGGCTAACCCAATGGAAGAACGAATGCTAGCCTTAGAAAAGGCAGTAACGAAGAGCCTCGAGGAGCCTGTGCGCAAGACGGCTCCTCAGTCGACACTAGGAGTGGGAGGCCGACCAACTTACGCCTCAGTTGTTGCACTTCCAGCAACAAAAGCAGCCGTAAGAATACGAATGGAAGGATCAGAAAATATGCAGCCAACTGAACTGCTAAACAAGGCTAAAAAACATATCAAGGGGGCATATGCCGTAAGGCAGCTGAGGAGTAATGACATTGAGGTGTTTGTGCAGTCGGTCTCCCAGCGAGGCGCTGCATTAAGGATGGCACAACCAAGGGAGTTCTGCGTCATAAAGCAGGATTCCCCTGTTGAAATTTTGGGAGTCCCACTGGGGACAATTATACACGGAGGAAAGAACGCCAACAACAGCGTGGCAATTTTTAAAATGACTACGGAGACAAAAGCCCGGATTCCTGGAATCCAAATCAATAGCGTGAGGTGGCTTAACGACGGCAAAGAGCACCAATGGATGAAGACAAACGGCTATTCTCGAGGGTCAGTTATCGCAAGCCTTCCGACCGAGGCTCTTCAACGCGAAGTGGTTAGAAACGGCATTGTGATGGATTCAATGCTCTACACGGCCCAGCTCTTGTCACCCCGAGCACAAGTCAAGCAATGTTTCAACTGCAGCAAATGGGGGCATACTCAAGCTTCCTGCAACATGGCAAGGAGATGTGGTGAGTGTGCGGGCACTTACCTGACCAGAGACTACCCGACGAAATATATGCTTTTCTGCAATTGTGGCAAGGCGCATATGTCGTGGCAGAAAGAGTCATTTCAAAACTTCGCGTTATATAAGGCTAGTGTTTAAAGGGCAAGGTGGGGACTTTTGGAACGAACGGCAGATATGAGATGGGAGGAAACAAGACCAACGGTAATAAATCAACCAACGGCTAATATAGCAACCGACCAAGGGTTCACACTCGTGTCCCATCAAAAGCCTGAGGGCGGCAAGAGAGGGCCAGGACGCCCGCGCAAAAAGCCCCTGGTCCCAGTCCTACAAGAAAATCTATTCGCGCCATCGGGGTCAAGCTCAAGACCATAGTCAACTCTTTTCAGCACGCGAGGGCAGGGAAAGGATGGCGAGGGAAACTTTAATTTTACCTAGATTTGTCTCTAACTGAAGGCCATTTGCACCTACTGTAGGTAACGAAGGACTACAGATATAAAACTTAATAGGGGGAGGGAATTTTTACCGCAAGGTTTCCTCATGTAAATGTATAGATAGGTTCATAACTGCCTGCATGGGCCCATAGGGCGCCAAATAAGGTTAAATGAAATCAAAATCAAATAAAACAAACAACCATAAGGTCTCGTGTTGGCCAGACGTAGGGTAGTTTAATTTAAACTGGGGTAGCCGGTACGTGAAAAGCTCACGTGCTGTGCCCGGGCACGACGTTAAATGTAATAAATAAATAAATCCAGAACATTGGAAAGCGGCAAACATGTTTACTGATGAACAAACAGGCAGCACCAAAATGAACTCCAAAGATACACCATTAAACATCCACCGTAACCCAACCAGGGCCCAAAGCAGTGTCGCCATTCAGCTAAGAAGCGAGCATATCGGACTCAATTCTTACCTGAGCAGAAGAAAAGTATCCGGAGTAGAGAAGCCAAGCTGTCAATGTAGATATCCGTCACAAAACGTCAAGCACATGGTGTTGGCGTGTCCGCAGTGGACAAATAGAAGAGGCGACTTTCTCCAACAAGCTAAACACAGGTCATTTGAAGCCATAATGAACAGCCCGGAAGATGTGGCTAGAATCACACAGTGGATACTAAGCAACGGATGGGTAAAATAGTTTCGACTTGCAGGGTAAGTCGAGGTAGCAATATCGGATAGAATAAAATGATCTGGAAGGGGAGAGGACGGGATCCGCACTGGCTGAACAGTGTACACTGCACTTTTTGAAGGAAAAGTAAAAATTTAATAGTAATATAAACAGACAGGATCAGGGGGTATCCTCCTTTGTAAATAATGGAGATAGTCACCTGCATTAACCCATAGGATGCCTGTTCGGGTTAAATGAAATCAAATCCAAAGTAAATAAATAAACTACCCGACATGTTGGAGCTTACATAGACCCAACAAAGCAAATGAAAGCCAGAATCTTATCATCCTGCGCTCGAAGATTAAAGTATATATGGAGGTCGTCCATCCAACGAATCTCATGCTATGCAGCTGGTACGAAAATTCTATGAACATTTCGCGCTAGATGGAGCTATGATGTGATCATGTGTTAGATCTCCCATGTAGGTTTGCAGTTGAAGACGGATGGTAGCCGGTTCAGATCCATCACGGCTCGAACACTTTTCACATTGTTATTCGGTAAAGAACCCATATAGACGTGAAAATGTAGTCAACTAGGTTGAATTATTGGGTTTCGTTTTTTTGGACCTCTTGAGTCAATAATTAGGTTGCACGTTGGGCTCCTTTGAGTCCCAGGCACCTTGTAAAGTTTTCAAATCCTCTTTTGTTACATGCAAAGATATCTGTTGCAATTTCCATGACGGATAGCCATCTATCCCGGTAGTTACCAGAAAATGTGTATTTAGTTCATGTTTTGTATATTTGAACATTTTCTGTTATAATTAAATGTTGTCAAAGCTTGGTAGCCTCCAGGCACTTAATGAAGATAAAAGCCAAAAGTAATAATTATTATGAGGTATATTCTCTCTTATGCCCTCTCCACAGCCGTCATTCAAAGGTAACATCATATGGATTCCTATTTGATAAAAAGATTAGAGCTGATATCTCGTCCTTGGAACTTCCTTGTAACCAACAAAGAAAAGCTCACTTGCGCGAGTATTCTCATTGGTTAGAATCTTCAAAGCCCACTATTTGTAAAGCTTCTATATCATCGAAGACAGGACTAAATTAGAAGATAAAGCTATTTTTTGAAGCGTCGCAGCTGTCCCATAGCGCGGCAGACTTGTGTCAACCGGAATATTATTACTCCCTTCTTCGAATCTCTCATATATTCACTTAGATTGTGTCGTAAGACATATCAAGGGTTGTGATAGGAACTCAGAAAACGTCTGTTGAAGCAAATTGGTACGAGGAATGCTAGCCTAAATTCTAGAGTTCGTTACAAGAATGAGATATTCTTGGCATCTTATGTTTTGAATGCAGCTACCGAGAGCGTATCATTGACATGATTTATCATTCGTTTCGAAGCTGAAGAGGTATGTGGTTAAATATAGGGTGTGTAGGGTCCCAAGTGACAAATAAAGCTTCGTGAGGGATTGTTTAAAGCTGTTTTCGTTTCTCTGTCACTTATGCAGGTCGACTTACCAACAATAATATGACGACATTAACATCAACTTGTCGGAATGGGTCATACTTCAATTACGGAGTCCGTATTACTCATTCTCGGCTAGGCCGTTGACGGTCGGTTGGCCAATACATCGCAATGACGATGGTCAATTAGGTTTACACGCCCACAATTGAAATATTATTGAGATTCCAAGCCTACAATGCTGTTAAGATACCTGCTCTTGACTGGCATTCAAGTCGCGTCTTCTTCCTATCTTCGACCCCATCTCCCTCCGGTCCTTGCCCCAATCGCTATCACACTGCCCCCATCTACCCACGCAACTCTTACGACGCTCTCACAATCTTACTCAGCCCCTCTTCGTATCCATGGAGACTTCGAATTTCACAATGTTTCATCAGGCTCTTATCTCATGGAGATATACTGTCATAGTCACTTTTTCATGCCAATGCGAATCGACGTATCGGAGGAGGAAGTAGAAGTGCAGGTGTGGACTACGTTTCGAGGAAGTGACTGGGAGAATAAGGGAGAAGCAATTGTCGTGACCGCTGAAAAACGAGCGTCGGATCAAGGATATTCATTTCCTGTAAAGATGTTAAGCAAAAAAGAATACTTGGTTGAACGGCCTGGTTGTGCGTATTTTGGAGAACATTCCTATGCCCGCCCATGCCAGTCATTCGTGCTAATTTGCTGCGATAGTTTCTCCTCTCAATTTGTTGAAGAACCCAATGCTCCTCATGGCAGGCATCACTATGGCCATTGTGTTCGGAATGCCTTATCTAATGGATAATAGTATGTTTAGCTACACTTTCTCATCAGTATGTCCTAGCTGAAAATAACCACTCAATAGTTGACCCAGATATAAAAGCCGAATTTGAAGAGAGCCAAAAAAAATCAGCCATGAACCCGGCCACCGCAAACCCTCTCCAGAACTTTGATGCCGCATCTTGGTTAGCCGGGTCCAGTGGCGCTGCATCTAAGGAACCTAAACTTAATAAGGGTATGAAAGGGGCAATTAAATAATTATCGTACTAAGACTTTAACTATAATATACTTTGCTTTCTGGTTAGAAGAAGAAATCCAAATACAAGAATTAATTGCAGTGTGAAAAGAAAAGAAAATAATCTATCTCACAAGACAGGTCATTTTAAATAGATAAGTAGGCACGGTTTTTGAATTATCGAGAGCTAGTGTGATAAAGTTAGCTATCAAGGCTTCCAGAAACCAGTCTATCCCCAGATTTAGTCACAACAGCACCCTGTCAAAATTCACAAAGAAATAACGGTTGAAGATGCAAACACCATAAAACAAGCAAGTATCCTAATACGAAGGTTGCAAAGGCTTGTCTATCCATTGCCGATAGGGAACGAAGGCCCTCAATTAAATTGACAAAATAAAGATGAAATATGAGATCTAGATTATCAATACTAATTTCCCTAATTAAGGACTTGTATCCGCCTATGTCTTACCCAGAAAATAGAAATGTGGAAAAATGTGGAAATATTTATTGGCACAAACAACTCACCATAGGAATAGGGCTTTAGTGATTATTCTCGTTTCCATTTGTATTATTTATCCTAAGTTCCAGTGTATTAAATATTTTGGAGAGAGGAATCTAGCTTATACGACCCACCGAAGAGCTTCATTGGCCAAGATGATTTGTTTACAAGTCATTGGCGAGACTATGTTCCCCGTGCCTCCAATAGACGGCAAAGAAAAAGTAGGATGATGTCATTCTAGCCAAAGTATGATACAAGCTTCTTACACCTCTAGGCTGCACACACAAGTATAACCACGACGCGTGTAAAATGACTCAAATTGTAAGAATAGAGGCAGGTCCATCTCTAAGCACTAGAGAAATGTCTCGAGCCACCAGAGATGCATTAATCAGTATCCGGAAGATGATCCCACCTCTCCTTCCGAAATTCTACAAAGGTATTGCTTTATACTCCTATTTATGCCCAATGCGCATAGCTAACCATGAAAAGGACAAATGGGTAGTGTCGCAGTCATAGGTGGAAGCCAAGACTATACGGGAGCACCATATTTTTCTGCTATGGCTTGCGCAAAAACGGGTGCAGATCTGGTAGTCCTCTCATACTCTCTCTCTCTCTCACGTAACCAACAGTTAATGATTCTGATTAGGTCCACGTAATCTGCGAACCTCAAGCAGCACAAGTGATTAAGACTTATTCGCCCAATCTCATGATTCACCCATTAATGCGGCAGTCTGATCGTGCAAGTACTGAGGACTCAGCGCAATCTATTGCTTCAAAAATTATTGAATTACTGCCACGCTTGCATGTATTGGTGATAGGCCCTGGACTAGGCAGAGATAAGCTGATGCTTGATACATGTGTGTACGTCATTGAAGCGGCAAAGAAACGAAACATGCCGCTGGTAATAGATGCCGATGGCTTGAGCTTAGCCCAGACTTACTCTAGCCTGTTTCAGAATTACACGGATTGCATCATGACCCCAAATCTCCGAGAGTTTAGTCATCTATGTGAGAGCAAGAATATCAGTCCTTCGAGTTCCGATGGCGGTGAAAGCGTGGAAAAACTATCTCTGGCTTTTGGAGGGGTGACAATCATACAGAAAGGTATGAAAGATTATATTTCCAATGGTAAAAAAACGATGATAAGTGACATCGAGGGTGGCTTGAAACGAAGTGGCGGACAAGGTGATGCCCTCACCGGGAGCTTGGCCACCTTCTTGTGCTGGAGGAAGGCATACCTGGATAACCTTTGGGTTCACGGCGGTGATCTGAGTTCTTCGGACTTGCTTGCACTCGCTGCATGTGGGGGCTCAGCTCTCACTCGAGAGTGCTCTCGCCTAGCTTACTTAAAAAAGGGTAGAAGCATGCAGGCCAGCGACCTGTTGGATGAGGTTTACGGTGCATTTCAGGCTCTTTTTGAAGGTTCACTTGCAGACCTGAAGCCATGGAGCTAGGAAAAGATCTTATATAAATTAGCCGTTACTGTTTACATCACATCGGCTCTCGAGCTTTTGCTTGAGCCATTGGAAAGAGCAGGAAGTGTAAATAGTAAATTGCATGATATTCTAACATTCTTGTTCTGTTTTCTTATCATTCGTCACGCCCAGGTGTTTCATCTAAATTGACCAGGGCTTGCCTATAGAACAAGGCCCGTGTGAGTGATAAGCTTTACCGACCTGAAACAAATGATTTTTGATGCGAATGGAAAGCGACCTAGTTACGAGGTAGTTGATACACTCATGATAAATGTCTATCTGCTGGGACTAAATACAAATAGGACTTCTATATCTATAAAATTGAATCTAATGATATTGGTTTGGATTTGACTTACTCTAACGAAAGACTATCTAGCACATTGGGCTCCACTCTGACCCAGGCCAAACTTTTTACAGATCTTTTTGCCTCTTTTGTTACATGAAAGATCATTAAAATATTGCCCGTGATGGACTGCCATTAAGCTCATTGATTATCCCTAGAAATCAGCCACCTTTCCCACGGAACCTTTTATACAAAAAAAAGGTAGCGATGGAGGCTGCGTACGAGGGAAAAAGTCTCAAAGAACCTGCAGCCCCAGCCAGGCGAGGCCTGGACACCAGGACCACATAAGGTGCGCATACTCATCTATACCTCGCTTCTTTGTATCATTCGAGGCCAACTTGGTCCAATCCGCCATTTCCGAATCGGGTGCTGAACATGCTCTAAAAACTCATCGAATTGATTTTATCTCTAGGAGAAAGAGTTGGCCATGAAGAGGGATTCGATCCTACCATCTGATTTTATAGTAGTTAGCTTCATGATAATGATGCCTGGAGATCTACTGAGATGTTAAGGCGATGATGAACACAAGGCCGTTTGAGAATTCTGATTCAAGTGAAGAAGAAGAAGAAGGTATCAGTCGATCTCAGCTAAGCAGACTCTACCTTGTGAGTTGGAGGTTCGTAGGGGACGCTGCTAACGGATGTTAAGTTTCCGGATTTCGGCAAGGTGATTTACAGATTGAAGAGCATTGTGTACACCAAGCCTTCGACTACGAGGGTATAGCTGATAATACACGAGTAAGCCAACAACGGAAGGCGCTGTGGTCCGCCACCTGGTGCTTATTTCTAATTTGCTTTGAGTAGCCTGGGCACCTACTCCACTTGGGAAGGAGAGGCATCAGATCACATTTCGCGTGAAGAAACTTCAGTGGATGATTGAGGCATGTCTGGATAACTCAGGGTTTTTGAGACGTTCCACCTGGGCGGGTATTCACGGATAAGGGTTGACTTGCTAGAGAAAAAAGCCAACATAAATTCGCAGTAGTGCTTGTAAATGAAATCCGAGGCATGAGTGCTCTTCATTTCAATTGGGTCATTTTTTCTGTACTTTATGTCTGACGTTGTGTCATAGCTAGATAGCTGTTAGTTAGGCCGTGTTTCGGAACCTTATCGACTTTAAAACTTGTTGTCGATATTGTATATGTATGTCTGTTATCACAGACATTGGAAATAATTCATGAGATTGCTTAATGAGTGGCTAGATTTGATTCCGATATAATATTGTAGAAGACTTGTCCCAACTATCAGAGGGCTACAACGTCTTTATCTATCTACAGGTAACTTCCCCATATTCCAACCACGCTAGCCATACAGGACGTAGCATATAAAACTTGATTTTTATCATCATTTTGGGGTTGAGGTCTACCGTGCATATGCTACTCGAGTCGCATGTCTGACTACTATGCGATATGCTTAGGTATCAATCTAACAACCCACACCAAAACCGAAACTACTCACAACCCTGATGATGACCCCATGAATAATTGGAACAGTAGCCTGCAACATAGCACAATTAGGCTAGACATCGTTGACCAGGACCTAATCCGAACAGAACCTGATCAGATAAAAGTTACATGAGGATAAAAAGATGTCCTTGTTCTTCTAATCTGTCTGCAACAGCGATAAATCTATGAGGGCAAAGTCTGAACACCTGTGCGTGGTGTCCCCTTCGAACTTTGGAGTGAAATATTCTTCCAGAGCCAAGTTTAGTCAGAGTTTTTTTTTTGCATCAGATTTTAATTGCGTATGCAGCTGTCTAGCTATGACACAATATCAAAGAAAAGTACAGAAAAGATGACTCAATTTGCAATAGGAGCACTCATGCCTCAGATTTCATTTGCAAGTACCACTGCTAAGATATCGTAACTTTTTCTTCACCCCAAGTCAACCCTCATCCGTGAATACCCACTCAGGGGAACGTCTCAAAAACCCTGGGTTATCCAGACATGCCCCCATCATTTATCAACTTTTCTCCGCGCGATATGTGATCCGAGGCGTCTCCTTTCCAAGTAGAGTAGGTGCCCAGGCTGCTCAAAGCAAACTAGAAATAGGCACCAGGAAGCGGATCACAGCGCCTTCCATCGTTTGCTTGTTTTTATAGTGTTAGCTGCACTCTCGCAAACGAAGTCTTGGCGCGCACAAAGCTCAATTCGTAATACTCTTGCCAAAATTTAAAATGACACGCCCGTCGAGTTTGTATCCTTCCTTTGCATCATCTTGTGAACTTGTCCTGGTCCCTCTCACGTCCATGCCAAAGAACTGTCTCCCAGATTTGTGCGCCACGCTTTGCTTCCTCCGTCGGGTATAAATATCAGCGTGGGCGTGTACTTGGTGGTCAACTGAGACCAGAGAAGGTCGAAGAGTGGTGGGGTCATTGGGATGAGGATGTACTAGGTCGTACTTGTAGACTTGATGAGACTTAGGTACGAGTCTAACTCGTTGGGAGTGAAAACAGACGTGGAAGAGTAAATTGAATCATTGCCTCGTGGGCCAACTTCTTTGATATTGCGAAATTTGACTCAACTTGGCTCTGGGAGAATATTTCACTCCCAGGTTCGTAGAGGACACCGCGTACAGGTGTTCAGTCTTGACCTCCGATACTAGCGTCGAGCTAGTCCGAGGATACCTTTAAAGTAGTCCTCAATCACGACGTTAGAGGGCATATGACGTTCTTTTAGATTCCCGTATCTTGTTTATGTCTAGTCCCGTGACTTCTATCTTGTATACTCTCTCGACCCATAACAGATGAACTTAGCTGGACGACATGAGGTTCAGCGGTATCTAAAATGCAGTGGCTAGAAAATTCTATTTTGCGATAATTGAGTGGCTGGTTGTTGCTAGATCACTTGAAGTTTAGGATCACCAAAGACCTCGGGGATCTATATTTATGGATAGACTTATTTGTAAATGTTAAACAATCACGAGGTATGAAAATGGTAGAGAGGCAGTATTGGGAATGTAAGATATATTGGCTATGGAAGGAGAAACAGGCGTAACTACAGCGAGCTCTATATACATGAGGTGTGGGTGTTTGCTGAGTAATACCAAGACTAGATTGGCATTCATGTCCCGTGTAGGTGTTTCATGTTCATGCACCTACACCGCCTTGCTCATTGCATGTTCGGAGCCTTGAGGGCGTAACTTAAACTAAGTTAAAGTAATATTATATATCATCAATTCAGATTGATAAGAGAGATCCATATCCTGTACAGCTATCAATAAATTCTTGTCCAAAATTGTACACTTGTTCTTCGAGAGATTTCCTCCTAGAAATTCTTGATAATTTCTAACAGATTTCGACTCGCCTATAATGTCGTCCCTAAAAATCTACACTTCCGAACATACTAGCCAGGAGGGCGTCTGAAAAATATGAGTTACTCGACGAACCCACGTCCGTAACGACTTTTGGATGCTAGGCCAGGCTCTTTCACGGCAGTCACTCTCGACCAAGAATTTTCTGACAGCCTTTCACGACCTTCGATTTGTCCTGCGGCATGAATCGGGGGAAGAGCCAGGAGGAGGCTAGGAAGGTTGAGAGACGCTCTTAGGTATACACAGGTCTACTGCGCCCGGCTGGCCGGCCTCTTTGTCATAGGAGAGCCCCGCACCCAGTGGTTTTTGAGACTTTTCCTAGCAGCTTCACACCCGCAAATAGCCATTGTTTTGTTGCCTGGAGAGGGGAGATGATGACGGGATAACGGCTCCTCTAAGTGTGTACTCGAATGAAGACCTATCGCATAAATAGAACAAAAAATATTGGGCAGATACATGGAACAACAAAGATGGGAAAGATTATTTTGGGGAGTTTGATTACTTAGTGTTAATGTTAGATAAATTGTCATAGCTAAATAGCTGAATACAAAATGAATTAAAAAAAAAAAAAAAAAGAAGACCTTTGGGGGTATTACTGCTGGAAAGAGGTCGTGAAGGAGGCATATGAGGGAGTACACTACCCGAGGCATAGATACTCCCAGCCTATAGGCAGAAAGGACCTACATGTCCTTACATAGTTAGAGACTTTTTAGGATAATAAACATTCACACTCTCTCCCCCCTCTCCCTTCCTCTGTAAATAATAAAGTTCGTAGACACCTGCATTGGTCCCTATGGCGCCAAATCGGGCTAAATGAATTCAAATTCAAAAAAAAATCAATTAATATTTTGATTTTGATTTCATTTAGCCCGTTCAGGTAGGCTATGGACCCATGCAGGTATATCTAGCTATAATATTTGCACAGGAGGAAACCAAATTCGGTAAAAGCCCCCTAAAACTGTCTGTCTCGTGTCCATTGGATTCCTGAGGTTTCCTATAGGAAGTGCGTTTACACCGTTCATATAGTGTGAATTCCGTATTATCCTTGTCCTCATCGTCTCATCTTTTCTTATAATGCTATTTCTACTTCTCCTACAAGCCGGAACTGTTCAAACCAGCCTTTTGCTAGAATCCATTTAGTGATTCTCTCTATATCATCTAGGCTAATCATCATTGCCGCAAATGACCTATCTTTTGCCTTTCGATGCACCTCTCCTCTGTTAAAGTTATGAGCTTGAGCGAAGATGGAGGTTGTAGCGGAATCAGTGTCGGCGGTTAGACCGATGCAGTAAGTCTCGTGTGAGGTTGTGAGAGGAAGGTCCGAGTGGAAACAATTGTATTTAGATGTATGGTTCTGTGACGGGAACCGAGTTGGTTGTGAATAAATCGATTTATTAAACTACATGAGGAGAAAAGAGAACTCTAGCTACGACTAACAGGTATTTATAAGAATTGGTCCCCTTCGTCAATCTCAAGACTGATGACTTATCCTTAGGCACAATACTTGCTACCCAGCCACGCATTGCCAGGTGTTACTTAGTTGTAGTAACGCTTTCACTCCTAACTAGTAGTGCCGCCTAGTTGTAAATATTCCCAACCATCCGCTTAGGTATTCACCTAAGCTCAAATAACGGTCAAGCCGTAACAGGTTCAGAGTAAAACCGAGATGATAAGAGTGAGATTGCGTGATCGCATGACTTATCAACTGCGGGTTTTGACCAGTATTTATCAATCTCCATGGATCGTAAGTTATGATCCATGTAGATGTAGATCTACAGTGCCTCTAGGTCCCAAAAGGTAAAACTTCAAACTGGGTCGTTGAAGGGACTAGCCCTGTAGGCGCAGTTGGGCTAGCTCGTAATAGGTTAGTATGTCTCTCCTCCTTACCCCGCTCGCCATGAAGTATAGTCAAATCGTCTTCTTCTAACAATCGCTCAGAAAAACACATTCTCAACAAAATTTTTGACTGCCTAGCCTACACAATCACTGAAACTTCCCACCACTATCAATTCATCCTCTATTCTAGCAAAAAATGTCTCTCCAAAAGTCTGTTTCAGAAACTAAAGTTCGCAAGCATCTAACTCGCGATCAATGTATTGAAACAAGAGCATGAAGAAGACTTGGCTTGACACTTCAAAATATATCCGACAAACTTGGCTTCACAATAAGACAAGTACAACTTGCGTGTGCTCGAGAGACTGAGAATCCTATGTCTCGCAAAGGACCCTTACCAAAATTAAGCGCGGAACAAGTTGATGAGCTCGAGGCTTTCGTCCGGGAGTCTCCTAAAAATCGACAGATGTGCTATTTGGAACTAGCCATGGGGTCCTTCAGCCACTGGGGATGTAGTGAACGTCTAATTTCTAATGCACTCAAAAAAAGAGGTTACAGCAGATGCATTGCTCGGAAGAATCCTCCGTTAAGCGCGGTGAACAAACAGAAAAGATTGGAGTTCGCCTAATTACATTTAGATTGGAGCGATGGACAATCGAGTCGCATATTATGGACTGATGAAACCTGGGTATCGGGTGATTGTCATATTAAACTTCGTGTCACAAGAAAAGTACGTTTAAATTCTATCAAAATCTTCCTTGTACTAACAGCAGAGCTTAGCCTGACGATGAGGTTAATGAGACTTGTATTGTGACTCGCCATGCTTATGGGAACATCTGGATGTTCTGGGGATCATTTTACGGATCACAATAAGGCCCATTCCTAATCTGGGAGATTGATTGGGGATCAATGAGGTCCTCATCCTTTTGTGAAAGGATTTTGCCACTTTTGAATCAATCTCACGCGGAAAATCCAGAAATTCCATACATGCACGACAACGCACCATGTCATAAAGCGTACTCAATAATTGAGGCGCTACGTGAAGTTGGAATAACGCCTATTAGATGGCCACCTTAGTCTCCGGACCTGAACCCGATCGAGTCATTGTGGAACATCTTAAAAAACCACATTAAGGTAAATAGTCCTGAGAAAAATGGGGTCAGGCTTGTGCGCTCTGCCATGTTGAAGACATTGCTACAGGATGCGTGGGACACTATACCTTTTGAGGAGCTATTGTCACTAGTTGGCAACATGCTCGAAAGATGTGTAGCAGTGATAAAGGCAAATAGAGGGTACACAAAGTATTAGGATGGAGAAGACTAATACAAAACACGTAGCACGCTTTCAATTTAGTTTCGAGCCATGCTGAGGGCTTCGGTGTAGACTTTTGTAATACAGAGCAATAATTTTTGAAATAGATGTGCAGTTATAGAGAGTACCAATTGACTTTTTTCAATTTTGAATTTCAACTAAGGACCATTGTACTTTTCCCATTGAGTTCAAAACCATCTCCATAATTTAGACTTTCACGGAATGTCATTGGATAGTACCCCTTGCTTGTAGAACTAGTAGAGTAACTGGACATGGGCCTGCATGAAGACTACACCAATTAAGGCAATATGTACAGGGATATGGCCCCAGTCATTTTGACCACTTTACCTTTACCATCCATAAGAGACTGTAAGATGCCCGTTGCCGCTTTATACGATGAGCGTTTAAGGCCTCGATCAACCCATTGACCCTGGCGACTGCGACTCCAGAAGTAGTTCACGCGTTCCCGGTAACACCACCTTTCATCTTTGTCAAAAAAGGCTCAGCTTCATTTGTTTCACCAGCTCTGTTTGATTGGTTCTGTCTCCCTACTTTTGTATTTCCGTTAGAGCTCCGTCGTTTAACGCGTGCAATGCTTCTCTCTGCCCACTAGTCCTCAAGTCACCAACTCTCATGAAGATAGAAAATTGGGTAGGCGAAAACAAACTGTGGATAAACTCATCCTACGAAACAATAGATATGATAGCATACGCGGGACCCGTTGGACAGCTTAAGTAGTACTTTGTTGCGACAATAATGCTGGTATTAATTCCTTTGATATGTGGACGGTAGTTTCCCGGGCTATGGCAATGAACTAGATTGTTTTAGTGAATGAAATGTCGGAAAACGGGTCGAGATAGACGGGAAATCCCCCCAAGGCAAACGAGGATCACAAAATCGGTTTCTGAGTAAGAGGGAATGTCCTCGTCGATATCTAGCCAAATATAGATAGAATTTAATTGAAGCCCCAACTGTGTCTATGACCACCATGAATTGCTAAGGCTATCTAAACAGCTTTAAAGCTATATGGCAATTGTATTTTTGATATTTACATTAAAATACTTAGAGTCTTGAGGGGTACTTTTCACAACACCTATCAGTAGTGTCCCCTACGAACATCCAGCTCTCACTATAAAGTCTGCAGAGCTGGGATTGAGTAACAAAGTCCTCACCTCGATGAGGATTCCTATTCGCTTTCGCGGTCTGTATCGTCTTCATCTCTCAACACATTCCCCCACAACCATTATCATGAAGCTAACCGCCAACGACAGTTAAACATTCATATCTGAACAAGTGTAAGCGTGACTGAAATAGTAAGCTTTACGGCAAGATTAATCGGGAAGTAACTGTACGCTCATGACACGGGAAGCTGCCGTGGCAATTTGTATAGGTAGGAAGCACTACGCAGACAGAAGATGGCCACTCAATGAATAGGAGCAATAATATGACGTATGATGACTTACACTATCCACATAATGCTTTGTGGCTGACAGTTTAGTACAAGTAGGTCGAGTTTTTACCTTTAATATTTTCCTAGTGTCGCAACAAAATCGTGTAATTCACTCTCGCCGGTAAAGTCGTAAAGGGGGGCTACACCACCCGAAGTATAAGTACTCCCGGACTGCAGGTAGGAGGAATTATTTGTACGTATATAATCATAGACTCAAAAAATATAAAAAAAACACAAATGCACACTTCGTCATAATCGCGTGCCTTTATGAGGCTCGCCATGTCACTCACAACGCTAGCACGCATCCACGCCATAAAGAACTAGAAGCAATTCACACACGTATGCATGTGTATACTATCGACAGAGGCTCATCATTTTTTGGTATGTGTTATAAAATTTGGGGCGATCCCGAGTATTAGAAACCCGCAAAAGATTCCCATATTTCATACCCTTTTCTCGATTACAAGTGATTCGTCAAGAATATGGGTAGAATGCGGCTTTCCGTGCAGTTTCCACTGAATACAGCTCAGCCTGAAATTTTTTTATTAAAATTAACCTGGATCCAGGGCGACTCAAAATAGCGGGATGCATTGGTCTAAGCTACGCTTTACGATTGACGCAGTGTAGAATGAACCTCCATCTAGCTAGCCGACAGGCTAGATCATCTTCTGAATCCTCATCCAGTGTGACGGCTAGTATGCCGATAGAGTTACTATATCCTATGATATTCAGCACAGGTATATCCATTACGTCAACACTTGGTTTCGCTAGTACTCAGAGTCAGGCGATACCCATGCACATTGCATTGATAGAAACTAGCTCAAACGTGGATAGAGTGAGCTTATCTTGAGTTCAACTGCTAGTCTTCAGATAGGATTCTCAGTTCATAAATGAATTATCTGTCGAAATGAAAACGCTTAAGGGATTTATCCGCAACTGATACATGCGGTAGTGTGCGTGAGTATTACATTTACCTGGTACACCAAGCTTTGGGTATCAAGGGCCTATTTTCAAATATCTTCACCGGCCTTATTATCAAAAAGAACTATTCAGGTCGTCAAATATCCACGTGTGATGGTAGTGATTCAACGCATTGCAATTCTGAAAAAATGGTTCAGGATTCACTTATGCTAAAAATTGGATAGACATTATGCCTAGACCATTTCTGCTTGAAATCACGCTAAATGAAAATTTTCGTGGACTCATAAAGAAATAAAGTTGCTGCGCTCAAAAAATTGTACAAAAGAAAAATTGTCCTGGTCGTACGATCGGGTGCGAAATGAAAAGATTTATTGCTGAAAATTCCGGCTTGGATGAAGCGCTTTAAAGATTGTAAGTAAAGTTATCGAGAAGGAGAGGATACTATTTCAGGAATTGCTGCGATATTGGGACTGCATTTGGTGTTCTAAGCCACTCTCCGTTAAAAGCGTTGATGAGCCAGTTATTCAACTCTATGGACTTAATAAGCTTCAAATACATGATGATAACGAGACAAGTGACAACTTACTATGATAGACCATCCGGTTAGCATTATGAAATAAAATGCTGTGGTCGCTGTCCGGAAACACATGCATATCGTAGTTTTCAACACCAGCTAGATCGAGCTTGTCTAAGAGTATCATTGTATTTTGGAGATGCACATTATCGTCAGCGACGCCATGTAAGATAAGAAAGCGCACGTTCTTCTGAAGAGCCGTCACATTGCTGATGCTAGAGTTTTTGTAGCCTTCTAGGTTACGTTGAGGTGTATGCATATATCGTTCGGTGTAGATAGAGTCGTAATATCTCCAATCCGTAACCGGTGCTACCGCCATTCCGTAAGAAAACGTTTGACCAGAATCCTGTTCGAGAGTTTTAAGCGTCAAAAATCCGCCATACGACCATCCCCAGACAGCCATCTTAGAAGGATCAACATATTCTTTCTGAGCCCAGAGCTTAGCAGTCTCAATTTGGTCATGAGCTTCATAGAAGCCCAAGTTATCGCGTACAATCGTTCGAGCCTTGCGCCCGATGAAACCAGTCCCACGTCCGTCCACCGTAACGACAATATATCCCAGACTGGCAGCAATGTAAGCCTGAAAGTCTATGCTAAATTTTTTTGACACTGTTTGTGATCCGGGGCCACCATATAAGTAAAATAAAACGGGATACTTCTTACTTGCGTCAAATCCGGCTGGCCTTCGTTCTACCACGTTTAAATCGATACCATCGATATTTACGGTCGAGTAAATATCAACAGGTAGCTCATACATCTTTGCTAAGTCTGAAAGCCTTAAATTTTCTTCAATCACTCTCTCATACTTTATTTTGTTGCTTGGTGTGCTTATCACTTTCTGCCAGGGAATGTTGGGACCATCGTATCCTAATAAGAGGTATCCGGCCTTACTTGAAAATGAGACATCGTAGTAGCCATCTTGGGTTATATCAGTAAGTGGTTTGAGGTCACTTCCGTTCAGTGTGACACTATAGATATGACGTTGAATTGACGACTCTTTGGTCCCAATGAAGTACACTAAGTTATTTTCCAGATCCACGGCAGATGGGGCATCTACAACTTCCCAATCCCCAGAAGTCAGCATAATAGGCGTAGGGTTGTCCAATGGTGTAAAATATCCGATGTGGTCATAATTATTATGAATGACAGTTTCAATATAACCATGCTCGGGTCGGCCACGAAGAGGGTCTGCAGGTACAAATTTGGTGTTCTTTGAAATTTCAAGCCAACCTCCGTCTTTTTGTTTTTGGTCCAGTAATCTCACAGTCTTTCCGGTCCTTTCGATCACATCGATTAGAACTACCCGCATTATATCACTATCCCTGTTCAGTTCGCGGATGAGTACTTTTCCACTCATTCCAGCCCATATAATCTCGGTAATGAGTAGATCATCCAGATTAAATGAGCCTTCAACACTAACTTCAAATACATCACCCTTCGCAACGTCGTAGAACCTTACGTCAACAATGGGATTAGGAGCACCAGCCTTGGGATACTTAATCTCTCTGACTTCAGGATAGTTACTTTCATTCGGAGGTACCTGCTTCCCGCTAGGCTTTGAAACAAAGTATTGGATTGGATATTCAGGGACTTTTGATTCGTTTGTGCGTAGAAATGCTATATATTTCCCGTCCTCAGCCCACCAAGTCGCACTATTCCCTTCGAATACCTCTTCTTCGTATACCCAATCCGGTACACCATAGAATAGGTTTGTACCACCGTCTTGTGTTATTTGTATCACGGTATCGGAAGACAATTTTCGTAGAAAAAGGTTGTTATTTCGCGTAAACACGATTGCATCACTCTGGGGGCTCCAACTTGCCAGCTGAATCCGGCTTCCTGGTTGTGAAAGATCAAGCGCTTGAGCAGTCTGGGTCTCAACGTCAAAAATCCAGTAATTAGCAGAGAAGGAGTGTCTCCAATTTTGCTTGACATTAGTGGCGATAAGCACTTTCTTCAAGTCTTTACTAGGAAAGACATATTTAGGAAATAGGGTTTTGCCCTCTACTGTGAAATTGTTAGAGCTGATAAGAATCTTGGAAGCCATAGCGTCTTGAGAGTTTTCGTTATCATTTCTGATATCTTCCACGACGAGATACGCTTTACCAGGAGCATCTTGCTCAATCAAAAGCCCATCTTCGTTGTCTACTCCTTGAAACCAGCTGATATCATGCTTTTTGACTTGCCATGTTCCATTTAGGATTTGATCGAGTTTTAGATTCGACGTACTATGTTGAAATTCACGACGCGGCGACCCATCTGATGCTACCAAAGATTCCTGGAAAGTGTGGCGTTGTGCAAGGAAGTTAATTAATGCAAATAACCAAGCACCAACAAGTAATACGCTAATGGTCCACATTAAGCGCCGCAGCTTGTTATCTGACATGCTGGTGGAGCTCTTCCATAGATTGCTAGTCTCAATTTTTTGATCTTCATCTTGAACGCTATCAAATTGGTAGGCATATTCTTCGTCCATTCGTCCATGATAATGGGCTGAGGTCGGCAAATTTTGGAGGGACGCCTTACTATGCGCTCCCGTATTTTCATTCACAGCTTCTGCGTCCTTTGCCATAACTCTTTCACCGATGCGCGCAAAAATTAAGCTGGTGGTAGAAGCCGAGGAGAACGAATCAGCGGAATATCGTTGTCGATCCTCGGATCGCGACGTTTGCTTCGGGATTTCTCGATATCCGGTCATTGTTGATTAGACGTTTACTTATCCTCAAAATTTGGGTAAGTGAGATTCACAGAGAGATTGTTTGAGGCACTCACCACCAGTTAATCTGCTCGAAGCATTGTGGGTAATTCGTGTTTGATAACGTTAACAAACTAAGATTCAAGTTCGAGCAGTAAATGCGCTGGACATGATATTTTCTTTATTTCGGTCTGATCATAACCCGCATTGAGAGACCGTTCGATAACAATGCGCTTTGGTAAACCTAAAGGATCTCGCCTGGCATGCTGACCGCCCTCGAAGTTTAATAGGTGGGGTAATGTTTCACCAATGAGACGAAATATCCTAATCAGGTATTGATCTTATTATAATGCACTTGTGGCGTTTCATGATCTGGCCTGATGAAATCTATTCTTGTATTGGTCAAAATACTGACAATGAGGATTGATTTCATAGTCGATATCCATATAGTTTGAGTTTGATCAAACTTATTAGTGTTCGAGATAACAGTCGCCCACTTCTGTTTTTAACCAGATCTAGTGTAAAGCATTTAGCAATAGAAGCTAAAGAAATATTTAAGATATACGATTTTAGCTGGACACTAGGACGAAGCACTGTTCGAATAAGCTCAAGCCACGTCCCTGCAGTTTACCATATATTATATGAGACTAAATGACCTCAAATCTATGTCAAAAAAGTAGCTTGAGGCCCAGATCTATGCTTATTCGATATTCTTCTTGGCTAATTACAGTGTCGTAAAGGGACCTTCTTGTGAAATAACCCCTTTTATGAAGAAAATTATACATTATTCTGTAATACCCTTTTTGAACCGTTTGACAAAATTCAGATTGTGAGATACGCATTCGTCCTTTGTATTTGATCAGAGGAAAGTGTCAAATTTTTGGAGAGCTATAGTATCACAAGTTAAAAGGAAATATTTTTGGTACATTCCTATCCGAAACCATTTTACTTAAGATATTATTCTAACATCCACTATGGTGAATGACTACGCGGCTTGTAAATGTAGATTGAGTAATTGTTAGAAGTGTCGTGCAATGAAATGGGAGCAGAATCTATGGAATTAAAGACGTTGACCAAAACCGTGTCATTCGGATCACTACCTAAATAGTGGGAAGTGAAGGGCAAGACTGAACACCTGTACGCGGTGTCCTCTACGAACCTGGGAGTGAAATATTCTCCCAGAGCCAAGTTCAGTCAAATTTCGCATTATCAAAGAAGTTGGCCCACGAGGCAAAAATTAAAATTACTTCACCACGTCGTTTTTCCGCTCCCAACGAGTTTGACGCCTACCTAAGTCTCATCATGTCTACAAGTACGACCTAGTACATCCTCATCCCAATGACCCCACCACTCTTCGACCTTCTCTGGTCTCAGTTGACCACCAAATACATGCCCACGCTGATATTTATACCCGACGGAGGAAGCAAAGCGTGGCGCACAAATCTGGGAGACAGTTCTTTGGCATGGACGTGAGAGGGATCAGGACAAGCTTGCAAGATGATGCAAAGGAAGGATTTAACCTTGAAGGAAGTGAAATTCCGAATTTTTGCAAGCAGTTTTATGAATTGAGCTTTTTGTGCGCCAATACTTCGCTTGTGAGAGTGCAGCTAACACTATAAAAACAAGCAAACGATGGAAGGTGTTGTGGTCCGCCTCCTGGTGGTGTTCTCTGGTATAGTTTGAGTAGCCTGGGCACCTACTTCATTTGGGAAGGAGACATCTCAGATCACATATCGCGCGGAGAAAAGTTGAAAGATGATGGAGGCATGTCTGGATAACTCAGGGTTTTTGAGACGTTTCCCTGAGTGGGTATTCACGGATGAGGGTTGACTTGGGGTGAAGAAAAAGCCGCCATAACTTTGCAGTGGTACTTGCAAATGAAATTTGAGGCATGAGTGCTCTTCCTTTACGTTGAATCGTCTATTCTGTACTTTTCTTTGATATCGTGTCATAGCTAGATAGCTGCATACGCAATTAAAATTTGATGCAAAAAAAAGAAAAAGAAAGCTTCAGATGTTCAGGGTAGCAGGCAGATAGTACCAGGGTAGGTCCGTGTAGGGAAGGTGAAGATATGTTTGTTCAGCTTCAACCTGCAAGAGGCTGGGAGTGCTAACCCAATTGCAATGTCAAACTCGTGAAAAAATCGATGCTAACATAGCTCTCGTCTTTGACACTTCTTCTCATGTTTTCTTTGAAACTAGATGCATAACCGATTGAAATCTTGGTCGAGGTTCGCATGATGATATCACCTTGATCCTGAATGTAACAGGATAGGACTAAATATCTATCTGCGGTGTCTCCTACGAACCTCCAACTGTCACTGTGAAGTCTATAGAGCCGAGATTCAATAGTAACAATGTCCTCAACCTGATGACGACCCCAAAACGCCCTGACGGTTTGCATCGTCTTTATTTCTGAGCACACCCCCTGAAACCAGTATCTTGAGGTTAACTAAGATCAGATAAGATGGAAGGGACTAAGCCCTGCTCATTACCCATCTTTGGCCATAAAGAAGAAGTCATCCGATGAGTCTTCAGGGCTTGACTAGCTCTCGATACGATGATGGTGAATCGGATAAATTTAGCATCTTTTGATACGGAGATAGAAGATATACCTATTTCTTGTAGCTTTGGTGTTTAATCCTCATCTGACTCGGGTTACAAGTTAATGGATAATTCTTCCACGTACCCAATCTCCACGAAATTTGTAGTAAATTAGAACATTTGAAACAAAAAATTCGTTTTGATTCATAACAATGCAAGTTATTAGTGTCTCGTGTCTCCAAATTATGGTTTATAATGAAGCTTTAAACCAAGTGCAACTTAGTTTTCTATGAATACTGGGTATCTTCCGTCTGAATACAATATTTCTTATCTTGTGCCTGAACTCCGACATGAAAATCATTCCAGTTAACGATAGTGTCGTGCTAACTTTTAAGATGGTGAATTCGAGATCCTCATTCATATCCACCTTTGTTTTTTTTGAGAAGAAGCCTCCGTAGAAAAAGTGGACCAATTCTACGCTTTTATATATATATATATATATATCTTGACAAGGGCCCAAAGCAGTTTGGCAATGCAAATACGAAGTGAGCACATGGGGCTTAACTCGTATTTACACAGAAGAAACGTAGCCGGAGTATTAAGTCCAGGTTGTCCATGCGGCTACCAATCACAGAACCCCAAGCATATGATTATATCCTGCCCCCGATAATCAAATGGTAGAGCTGAGATCTGGACACAAGCGAAGGATCGATCCCACGAAGCGATGATAAACAATCCCGGAGATATAAAAAGGATAACACAGTGGATCCTAAACCATGGTTGGATAGAGCAATTCCAGATGACAAAAGCGGTCGAAATACTGCTGAGGGAAAGGAAAAGGTCAAATAATGCTTGGGGAGGATAGAGATGATCTGGTTAGTTTACATGGATGGCACTATAGTGTAACTGCACTTCCTGAAGAAAATTTGTGAGAAATATAGACAACAAATAGAAAGATATGGGAGGTTTTCACCATAAAGGTTTCCTCCCGGGTAATTACTATAGTCTGTAGACACCTGCATGGGCCCATAGGGCGCCATATCAGGATAATGAAATCAAATTCAGATATATATATATATATATATTTGCATCAGATCTTATTGCGTATGCAGCTAGCTAGCTATGACACAATGCCAGAGAAAATTCACAGAAAATATTACTCAAAAATAAAGAGTATTTATGTGTCAGATTTCATTTGCAAGTACCACTGCGAAGTTATGGCTGCTTTTTCTTCACCCCGAGTCAACCCTCATCCGTGGAGTCAACGGCACTCCCCAGCGCCCTGGATGTTACAGGCTGCGCCTATCTCCTAGTGACTGTCGCACGGACACTTATCATTATTACGTCATTAGCCTAGCTATCTAAAGAGATGACCAACTTGGCCATACAAATACAGGGTTGCAACAAATATGGAAACGAGATATTGTTGCAGCAAGTCTCATATGGAATCATGGGCCGATACGACCCAGATTCGCTATGACGAGCCCACTCGGAATATCAAGTATATGGTGTAGCAGAATGGATAGTAAGGTTAGCGTATTGGGAGTTGGGACACCTTAAGTAGCCTCCCCTCGGTGGACAATTCCGAGATGTATGCAGAAAATAGACAGTAATCGGCCACCATTCCTTAACTATATTGTTTTGTTAATCGCCCATCACACTGGATGGCACAAAAGAAGTTGGGCTAAGTTACTCTACAGCAATCACGCTCTGTCAAGACCTTCCTGGCATTTCAGCACGACCTTTGGGAAGGATGAGGATCCAAGATTGACATACCTCTAGATTAGTACGAGGCTCTCATAAATTGTAATGTTTATGTAATGTTGTTCACGTTGGAGTCCGTGCGCAAGACAAGGAATACTGTACTTATATAGACGATACCCTGTATTAATAAAAAACTAAGTTATATCTAGTCTTAAGCTCTACTATACATATTTGTAGCTTGAAGCCACAAGACACCCGTAACCTACGCCATCTTAAAGCTAAGCTTATCTCACTTTTCATACATACTAATCCATCAAGAACCTCAAGGAGATGGAAGGAAGCTAGAAAGGCAGAGGGTGAATTTGCCGAGCTACCCACAAGTCTGCAGCGCCCAGCTGGCCGGCCCCTTCGAACGCTTCGGAAGGGTCACTGTATCTTCGGATCTAGTCCTAATATCGGTATTAGGAGAGCTCCGCACCCAGTGGCTTTTGCGACATTTCCCGGCTGCCATGCACCCGCAACTGGCCATCGTTTCGTTGGTTGGAGAGGGGAGCTAATGGAGGGCAAAGGACTCCTCTAAGTGTATGATCGAATGAGGACTTGTGAGGGGTGGAACTGTTTGAGTGGAGCTGTATGGGAGGCATAGGAGGGGATATACTACTGGAATAGGTATCCTTGGCCTGTAGGCAGAGAGGACCTGCATGTCCTACATAGTCATAGACTCAGACAGGACAATAAAATGAATTAAAAAAAACACCTCATCCGTGAATACCCACTCAGGGGAACGTCTCAAAAACCCTGAGTTATCTAGACATGCCTCCATCATCCATCAACTTTTCTCCGCGCGATATGTGATCTGAGGTGTCTCCTTCCCAAGTGAAATAGGTGCCCAAGCTACTCAAACTATACCAGAGAACATCACCAGGAGGCGGATCACTGCACCTTCCCTCGTCGGCTTGTTTTTATAGTGTCAGCTGCACTCTCGCAAGCGAGGATTTGGCGCACAAAAAGCTCAATTCGTAAAACTTTTGCCAATACTCGAATTTTCACGCCCGTCGAGAGTGTATCCCTCTTCTGCATCATCTTGTAAACTTGTCCTGATCCCTCTCACGTCCATCCCAAAGAGCTATCTCCCAGATTTGTGCTCCACGCTTTGCTTCCTCCGTCGGGTATAAATATCGGCGTGGGCGTGTATTTGGTGACCGGCTGAGGCCAGAGAAAGTCGACAAGAGGTGTGGTCATTGAAACGAGGATGTACTAGGTCGTACTTGTAGACTTGATGAAGCTTAGTTGAGAATCGGACTTTTTGGGAGTGAAAGATTGACTTGGTGAAGTAATTTGAAATTTTGCCTCGTGAGCCAACTTCTTTGATATTACGAAATTTAACTGAACTTGGCTCTGGGAGAATATTTCACTCCCAGGTTCGTAGAGGACATCGCGTACAGGTGTTCAGTCTTGCCCTCCCCATAGAGTGCCTGATCTGGTTAAATGAAATCAAAAAAAAGATCTTGCCAAGATTGAATATCTCATACCTGTAAGATGTAATTACCACCGCATTTTGTCGTAAACTTGTCCCTAATGCTCATACTTTCATCCCATGGAACTGCTACCCAGATTTGTGTGCCACGCTTTGCTTCCTCTTGCGAACATACACATTGGAGTCAGCGCATACTCGGTGGGCAGCTGAGGCCAGAAAATAAAGGTGAGAAGCACGAAAATTAAATCAACGATGTAACGGGGTTTACTTGTAAATTTGGTGGGCTTTGGTTACAAATTATTACATCGGAAGAGGAAGAATGATCTATTGAAATATCTTGCATCACCTCTTCGTGGTGCTAACCCTTCAGCAACAAGACTTTTGACTCGACATGGCTGTTTAATGCGTTGCCAGTTTCGAGTAAAGCGCTGAGAGCAACAGGTATCTATTCATTTTAATTCTTTAATCGCACGAGAATTTAATGTAAAATCAAATGATCTTTCCGGCCATCAAATTGAGAAGAGCGGTCTAGATAAAATACTTCTGCGCTAATCAACCTTTTTGTGCAACGGGAAGCAACATGATTATAAAGTTCGGAGCTCTGTAATTATTATTTTAAAATGGCACTTTCATCGGATATATCGCTTTTGGGTGTCCAACATTTATGCACCTTGTGTGTTACTTACATTAAGTATCATTACTGCTAATTTTCTAGTTGGTATCCAGTGCACACGCGCATAGTAACCCTTTTATGAACAGTACATGTGGCATGATAACGCTGATGTAAACAAGACGTAAGGAAAAGCTTTGATACATTAATCAACGTTTTTCTAAAGGTTTCGTCGCGAAGGTTACAAGCAACCTCCTCTAACAGCTCGCTAGCACATCAGCTTGATATTTTGATAACCCAATTTTCTAATCATTCGATGGTAATAATTTTCGCTAAAGAAACTGAGGTATCGATGCTAACAATGCTTGATTGGCAAAAGGCAGGTCCGTATTTATAAAGTCAAATCAAGCTTTGCCTCCGCATCAACAGAGCTCATAAGATAGATAAGCTTTTGTAAAAAAGAGAGCACGAATCCATCCATCAAGAACACACAATATGCCTTTAACTTCTCTACGGAAGCGGAAGATAGCAACCTCCATCTCACAAAGCTCCGACGAAGATTTAATACCGTCACAGCTGCCTGCGATAGATGATTATGATGCTCCAAAAAAATCTACCAAAGTATATCGAAAATTAGAGGTCGAGTGGAATTACCGACTAGCATTGATCATAATAACAACTCTCTCATTCGTAACGAGATTTTGGGGCATAAGTCATCCCAACGAAGTTGTGTTCGATGAAGTTCACTTTGGCAAGGTACTTAAAATATCTTAAAACGAGTGAATGGTAGCTAATTTTTATAGTTTGCATCTTATTACCTCCAGCGTATATACTTCTTCGACGTTCATCCTCCACTGGGAAAGCTTCTATTTGCCCTGATGGGCTGGTTTGTCGGGTACGACGGTAATTTTCATTTTGAAGATATCGGGCTCTCATATGTTACGAACAAAGTTCCATATGTCGCATACCGCGCAATGCCGGCATTCTTAGGAGCATTGACAGTGCCTGTGGTATTCAACATCATGTGGGAATCTGGCTATAGCCTTCCGGCTTGTATTCTCTCTGCCTGTCTAATCCTTTTTGACAATGCTCACATTGGCCAAACACGCCTGATACTCTTAGACGCTATACTTGTCTTTGCAATGGCATGTAGTCTTCTATGTTACATCAAATTCTACAAACAAAGACATGCGCCATTCGAAAGGAAGTGGTGGAAGTGGCTTCTCCTGACAGGCTTTTCACTAAGTTGCGTCATTTCAACTAAGTATGTCGGTCTCTTCGCATTTGTTACGATTGGCTCTGCTGTTGCCATTGATTTATGGAGTCTCCTTGATGTCAACCGTCGACAAGGAGCGCTCACTATACCCGAATTTGCTGCACACTTTGCCGCCAGGGCTCTCGCCCTCATTATTGTCCCATTTTTCTTTTATTTGATGTGGTTTCAAGTTCATTTTGCGATACTGTACCGATCGGGTCCTGGCGATGACTTCATGTCTCCATCATTCCAGGAAACTCTTAGTGAGAACACCATGACTGCTAAAGCTGTGATTGTCAATTACTATGACCAGGTACAAATTAAACACAAAGAAACTGGTGCATATCTCCACAGTCATCCGGATCGTTACCCTTTGCGATATGATGATGGACGGATATCAAGTCAAGGACAACAGGTCACTGGGTATCCGTACTCAGACGCCAACAATCACTGGCAAATAATTCCTCAAGATGGTGACACTTCCCTTGAACGCCCCGTCAAAAATAGTGAAATTGTCCGCCTGAGACACGTTGCTACTAACACTATGCTTTTATCCCATGATGTTGCGTCGCCATACTACCCAACCAATCAAGAATTTACTACAGTTTCGATCGATGAAGCGAAAAGCCATCGCTTCAATGACACTCTTTTCGAAATAAGAATTGAGCATGGAAAGTCGAGTCAAGAGCTCAAGAGCTTCTCTGGCCATTTTAAGCTCATTCATTTTCCTAACAAGGTTGCCATGTGGACTCACTCCAAACCCCTTCCAGATTGGGCTTACAAACAACAAGAAATCAATGGCAACAAAAACGTCGTCCAAGTTTCTAATGTATGGTACATTGATGAAATACCATCTATCCCTGCCGAAAGTAAGCGGTTGCAGAAACAAGTGCGCACGGTTAAAACCTTACCTTTTCTTCAAAAGTGGTTTGAGCTTCAGCGTGCTATGTTTTTCCATAACAATGCTCTAACTAGCAGTCACCCCTATGCCAGTGAACCGATTATATGGCCATTTTTGCTGAGAGGAGTGAGCTTCTGGACCAAAGAGAGCACCCGTCAGCAAATTTACTTTCTTGGGAATCCAATTGGATGGTGGCTTGTAGGAAGTCTTCTTGCAGTTTTTGCTGGAATAATTGGGGCAGACCAGCTCTCCTTGCGCCGCGGTATCGATGCATTGGACGTTCGTAAGTCATTTAACAGCCATACGTGCTCAATAAGGTATCGCTAATAAATCATAGGAACTCGAATGCGTATGTACAACTCAACCGGATTCTTCTTCCTGGCTTGGGCTACGCACTATTTACCATTCTACCTCATGGGCCGTCAATTGTTCCTTCATCACTATTTACCTGCTCACCTTGCGTCAACGCTAGTCACAGGAGGATTATTTGAATTTATTTTCAACGCAGAGCCTGTCGAAGCAAACACTATTGATATTCCGCCACCTGAAGCTGAGTCAGAAATAATAACCGATTCATCAAGTAAATATGGGGGAAAAAGTAAGCCAAATCGTAAGATTACCGTTGGTAAACATCTGCCGACACGAATAAAGCTATCTAACCAAAACCCATCATCATCATGGATCGGATTAGGAGTTATACTGATTCTCATCATATTTGGCTGGTATTTTTTCCTTCCACTTACATATGGGTACCCTGGCTTGTCTGTTGATCAAGTCCTTGCTAGGAGATGGCTGTCTTACGATCTTCACTTTGCCAAGTAGTTTTGTGCACCTTGTATATATGATCTATTAGTTACTACATGTAAAAAATTGCTGAACCAGAAAGATATTTTTTTCGATGCTTTCACTCTCTGATAAATGGGCTCACTGTTCGGCTCAAGTCGAGGGTGCCTTCCATTCACTTTATGTAAATTTTTAGAATCATCGAATTAGATGTGCTGTAAATACATAGTGATGAAAGGTTGTTGTCAAATTCTCGCGCTTCATGATGGGTCTTACAGCTAGAGGTTCGATGGACGCGATTTTAGCGAAACTCGTCTATATGTACAGCGTTGACGTCCTTACTCAAGTAGGGACGCGGCTCGGCACCCGCCGGACGTAAAAAAATCAATACACAAGCAGGTACGTGGTTAGACGGGCCCGAACGCCGACCAATCCAGGGTTACATTAAGGATATCTGCACCTAGTCCATGTGGCTATCCTATGATACTAAAAGCTTGGGCTGTCGCGATGTGCGATTGGTAACTGAGGTTAGGGCATTTGTATTGGTGTAGCGTTCATTCGCACAACAGTAGATCCATCACCACCGATCCAGCATGTGCCGGCAGCATGGATATCTCCCTCGCTTGCTTGAGACAAGAGGAGGTATATGGGGGCGACGAGCGCGCCCCAGCAGTAAATACGGATAGTAGTCCACGCAACATCACGGACGCCGGCAACACCCCAACCAGCCAACCGATCTCTAGCGATGAATGTTGCAAGGCTTTGCCAGCACCGTGCCTGTCGGGTCGGGTGCCAGTCACGGCAATCCACTTGCCAGTAGCCGCGTTCCAAAGGTTCGAGGGCTCGAGTTTGCACATCCGCGTCGAAGTATCGACTTGAATCGCTGAGCTGCATGAGATCTCGAAGTGCAGGGGTCGTGAGAAGCTCTGGCGTCAACTGTAGATTTCCCGTGGTGGGTGCAGGTGCCCTTATCTCGAGCATCTGCAACCAGTGAGCCTGGTTAGTACGGTGAGAGCACGTGCTCGGTATCGGGTCTGTAGCTGACACTAGGAATCCGCTGCACGCTTCATGCAAGTGAGTGGGTTTAGTGGCAGACGTAGGTGCCTTGAACGCAGTTGTGCGTGAGAAGTGCTGGCGGCGCCTCATCGCGTCTAAGCGCTTATTGGCGCTGAGAGGCGTCTTGGGTTGGACAGATAAATTTCCTTGCCTGAGGCGTCGAGGCGGGGTCAGTGTCTGAGATGCGCCTCTCGACCGTCGGCTGTCAATACTAGCAGGTCCCGAAAAGGCGTTACCAGATGTAGCTTGCGGGGCTTCACCGAGTTCCAGTGAGTTTGAACACAGTTTACACTCGCTATCGATTTGAGGTTCGGGAATGAGGGGCGAGTTGCTCTCTAGGCCCTGCCCGAAACGGCGAGGAGTCGCGCCGACGAGCTTAGGAGAGTCGTGCGATTGCTGGGTAGCGGGAATTCTGGAAATATCTGGCGATGAGAAGACAGAGGCCAAACACTCATGCGCCGCAATCCGGCGTCTAGAGACGGGTGTGAATTCCATGTAGGCATTTGCACAATTTCGCCAGCGCAGATCATCCTTTGCTGAACTCGGTGCCGGTGTGTGAACCAATATTTCCATGATCCGCGCTATCAGGGTGCTGCTAAATTTTGAACGGCTTCAAATATCGACGATGTGTATTATGGAAAGTGGACAGTGACCACTCTCACTGCTACATATCCTCTGAGTCATGCGCCAATTTAGGCACGTGACATTCAGTGCAACCTTAGCACTCTACCTTCTTATGGATAATTGATATTGGGTGTTTGAATTTGATTTCATTATCCTGATACGGCGCCCTATGGGCCCATGAAGGTGTCTATCATACTTTCTAATTTACATGGGAGGAAACCTTCTGGTGAAAGCCCCCCAAACCTTCCTGCTTAATTTCTAAGTTTTTTGTATTGTATCCTTTAGGAAGCGCAGTTACACTATAGTGCCATCCATATAACCCAATCACATCAGCTTTATCAACCTCAAGAAAGGCATGACATATTCCTTTCCCTCAGCAGCATTTCGACCGCCTTTGTCATCTGGAATTGCTCTATCCAACCATGATTTAGGATCCACTGTGTTATCCTTTTGATATCTCCAGGATAGTCTAGCATAGCTTCGAAGGACCGATCTTTCGCTTGTCTCCAGATCTCAGCTCTACCATTTGACCATCGAGGGCAGGATATAATCAAATGCTTGGGGTTCTGTGATTGGTAGCCGCATGTACAACTTGAACTGTAGACTCCGGGTACTTTTCTTCTGTATAAATACGAATTAAGCCCCACGTGCTCACTTCGTTTTTAATCGCTAGACTGCTTTAGGCCCTTGATATTGGGTGTTACTTTTCATTTAATGTGTATGCAGCTATCTAGCTATGACAAATGACCGGTGCTATATATGCATGTTGGATGACTCTTTTGACGTTAGAGACACTCACCCTGTATTCTATTCGCAAATACTATTATAAGGTATGTTTGCTTACACAAACAGTCGACCCTCCTACGTCGGGTGTAGATATCGGCGTGAGCGTGTATTTGGTGACGAGTTGAGGCCAGAGAAAGTCGATGAGAGGTGAGGTCATTATAATGGGGATGTGCTATGTCGTTCTTGTAAATTTGATGAGGTTTCTATGGAGGTCGATCTCATTGGGTGGTAGATTTTGATTTCGTAGAGAGACTTGGATCATTGCCTCGTGGGTCAACTGCTTCGGAATTGCAAAATTTGACTGAGCTTGGCTCTGGGAGAACATTTCATACCCAGGTTCGTAGAGGACATCGCGTACAGGTATTCGGTCTTGCTCTCCTTAAAATACATTGTATGAGTGTCTGAGAGCCTGAATTTAATAGTCGAGAAACATGTACACATAGCAGTAGTCATATATCATAGCCTGAGCTGCATTCACTTACATGATAAGAGCCTCCTGGAAAGGGATAATAGATCATCTAGACGAGGAAGAAGGGTCAAAAATACCACAGAAAGACATTAGCAAAATATATGTTTCTCTATTCTTTGGCAAGGAATATATAGATCTTACATCGGCGTAGAGGTACCGACACGGATATTTACAATTCATGTGAATCATGAATTTCTTCTCCATCCTGTGAAACAGTCCAATTATTAGGCTCGAAGCGAAGTATAAGCTAGCCCCAACTGTCTAATACATGAGCTTTCGTATGCCACACTATACTACCAAGGGCCGTGATCTAGATTTGTAAGAAAAGCATAACAACCAGTGTATGAACATATATATATGGCACTCAAAAACTTACCTCTGCAGATAATCTTTGTTATTATTTGACATAGTAAAGTGGGCTTAAATTTCCCTACCGTCCTTAAACAGACAAACTTCTTGGTCCGAGGAAGCCTGAATGTAAATAGGAGTAGATAAGATTGGATTGAAGAGTAGAAGCTGGATGAATTTCTAATCTCCTCAATAGATGGGAGATGGATGAGTGGAAGTTGCGGAATCAAACAATAATCTCAAGAGGAATCAAGCCATATCCGAAAGTCTCAGAAAGTATCGAACCCATTGGTTAAAATGTTACCAAATGCGAGTTCATCTTATACCAAAAAGGGCTAGTAAACAACTTTGAGTTCAAGCTTGAACTAGATTATTGATATCTAGACTTCTTACTCATACCCCAAGATCAGAGAGGAGGCCTGAAACTTTAATTCTAACAGTCCCAGATATCTAATTATGGTCCACGTCAGTCAGTTTTCCGATCTACCCTGATATCACCGGGATAAAAGTTGGACCTTGATCACTAAGTAGTTATCTTGAGATTCTATGGTGTGTCTCTACTCCCATACCAGTAAATGTATTTATAAAAAAACTATAGGCGTCGTTATTAGGAGTTTGTAGCTTCATCGAAGTCCAGGGCTGTCAAATAAAAAATTATGGGGCTTGCTTTTCTGTGAAAAGCTTTCAATGATCTGGAGAGTAGATGCAAGGACGAAATATCTGATTAAAAGCGTGTAGTGTGGGACCAAAGTATTTTGAGAAGAATAAGTGATGAAAATATCCCAGCAACAGAAATGATAGTCTTAAGGATCTGATTATGTTAACTGACTAATCAGGCATCATACGTATATCTTACGCCAAAATACTTCTTACCATGATAACACTGAAAGACATCGAAAATATAGATTTAATGAGCCCATTTCTGATATTTCTTGATCTCGTGGAGCAAATACGTTTATTAGTAAAGTTTGCAATTGATCGATAATGAAAGGTTGATCAAGGAAGTATGACAATTTATGCAGCGTATAAAAAATTTTTCTAGTCGTGGAGATTTATTTTTCGTTGTTTAGACAGTACTCATAGAAATACTAGAATTTGGTATTTCGACTCATTCCCCGAAAACACTTAACCAGGGCAAATTCTTTCTTCAAGGGTAATCGAGCCAATAGGTACCGCCGGTAGTAAATTCACTAAAGAGGTCAGAATCCCTGCAGAGATGGAGAGAATGGTTAAGATACACGCACCATTGAAGCCCGAAAGCTACCAAAGTAAGTACTTGCTACACGTAAGTTCGAGGGCAAAGGAATATATTGTAGATGCGACGGAGCGTGGATAGAAAGTATCTATGCTTGATGGTTATTTTCAAGGTAGTCAAATTCCATCCGGGTTCATATAAAAGGTGATTGCTACCATGGCAGAGAAACAGACAGCTAATCTGCGAGACTATCATGAAGCCAAACCCTCTTTCTATCCTCTATGATGCCATATTAAAGATTTAACACAAGGGTTTAATTCCTGAGCTAGAAACTTTTATTTTTCCCGTCAGCATCCTGCTCAATAAAGAATCGCATATACATATCCATGGTATTTAATAGTGCACTCTGAAAAAGTTAACTCCCTCTCCTTTGCAAGTGCACCTACTCCAAACAGCCGCTACAATTGGAAAGAGCTCAAGAATAAACAAGTACACCGCGTTTTACACGAGAGCAGAGCGTCTGCACTGAAAAATATGAAAATAAACGCCGCCCTAACATTATTTCCGAGCAATTGAGAAAGTCGAAATAAGATTTTCTCGAAATGAAAGTCTGGAAAACCGGCGTGACGCTGTCAAGTATTAATGCTATCATCTTCAATGGATGTATCATAAACCCTCTCAGTCAGAAAAAGTAAGGTCAACTTTTCTGATCGCACTCAGCCTGCTCCGGTAACCCCGACGGAACTATTCGTCGGGTTTTCCCATCCTGGGTGTCCGTAATCGTTTCGTAGATTTTCATGTTGGCTATCAGGTGTTCCAGTTCGATGGCAGTACGGCGAAGGTTGACCTAGATCTTCACCTTGCCATTCTGGTTGCTGAGGAGTTGTATTTTGGCTCACGGTAATTCCATTATTCGCAGATAGCTCTTGTACGTGGCGAACACTAATCTCTTTATGGCGAGCATGCGCCTGTGATGGGTCGGCATCAACACGAGTGACAATAGGAGCTAGTGCTCTGCCATTCTCCTTTGGTCTGGTAAATTCGGGTTCCATTTGATTGCGAATCGCCTGAGAGCCAATATCACCATATCTCTTCAGTATTTCTTTGGTAGTTATATCACTTGGATTATTGAAAAGCGTTGGATCATTTAAGATCGATTGGAGGTCTTCAGGAACCTTGGAGAAGTTAGCCATGCCTTGAGTGACAATTTAATCAACGCTAACATACCTCACACATTTGCTCATTGCATTCAATAAGCGAGTGTACTACTTCGATAGCCAAAAAATTGTCGTCTACGGGTGTCTTTGCATTGGTCAAGAGAATATTAGGGGCAATAACGGTAGCTAGATTATGCGTATCCATCTTGGAGCCAGATTCTTCATCAACTTGATGAAAAGAAGCCACCCAGTTGAGAAATGAGCAAAGAATTTCCAGACAGTCACGATGAGCCTTTGGCAAGAGACAACAGGTTAAGTGTAATATACGACGACGCTTTTCTTCATCAACGACTTTGTGAGAGGCGATGAAGAGTCGGTGTAATTTGAAGGTTAAGAGTGGATCAGGTAGCTCACGTAAATATTTCTTCAGTAGTGCGGCAATCTGCACGACACTTTCCTTGGAAAAATCTACTGCATCACAGCCATCTTTATCGATGATAGCAGTGGTTTCGTTGAGTCTCTTTATGTTACCGTTTTTGCGGAAAACCCCTTCGACAGAGAGGTCCATCTTACGCATTGTTGTGACAGCATCATCGACGATTGCTGGTATCCTCAATGCTCCTGGTCCGATGCCGTCAGTCGAGTCTGCACCATCACGTTCAATAATGATCTCCAATGGTACACCAAAAACTCCTTTTTTCTTACTACTCTTTTTTCCATCATTCTTGAAAGCTTTTCCCATTTTATTCCAAAAGGTTGGCTTTCTCGTTTCAATAAGGTTTAGTAGCTCTTCCATTGTAAAGTGGCCCTCGAGCATAGGCTGCATAGCAATAACTGCTACATGACGTACAATGAAATACTCCAATGCAGATAGTTCGGAGAAATATCGTTTACCGCCATCGCGCTTTTGGGGAGAAGGTTCACCTGAAGTCTTTTGGTAAAGACCATTTGCACTAGAGAAGTTTCGCTGATGGACATCGATTAACTTTGGCTCTGTTACCAATGTGCGGAAAGGATCATGTCTTGCATGCTTGTATGCGTTCGGTCTTTGTTCCTTTGCTTGTTCTGCCGCGACGATTCTAGGAATATCATCAAGGGTCAGAGCATCTTGGTGACCGAACAAAAGTTCTGTCCGTGAAACACCATTACTGTCACGCTCTCCGTTAACCTGAAAGCCTGTAATGTTGTCATTTGAGCCATCAGCTGTAGGTTCGCTTGAATTCCGACTGTCCGAGCTCTCTGTGATACGTGAAGTTTTACCCTTCCGGATAGTTGACGAAAGTCTTTGGTCCATACGCGTGCTTCTTAAACGCCGAACATCGTTCAGTGTTTTTTCATAGGAAGATGATACTTTTTGTTGCATCGCATCTCCCGCATGCGACTTTGAGCGCATGTCTGAATGTAAAAGAGTTGGATCAGCGGTCGGTTGAGTTCGGCGACCTTCGCCAGCATTAGAGCCATTCAAATTTGTGTCATCTGAAGTCTGTGGAAGAGAACCAGTGGCGCGCAATATTTTTAATAATCTTGCCAGCGCAACTCGTAATAAGTATACGTATTGCTGTAGTCTAGTCACTCGTTCGAACCCTCCAATGAGCCCATTGGATCCTCCAGTCTCACATTTAGTGCAGTAAACCCGTTGGCCTACCTTCCCAAATCTTGAATTTTCGAGGTCCTGGCCAAGATCCTTTGAACAAGCTGAGCACTGAAGGCAAGATAGATGCCATCTTTGTCCTTCACAGTGACAGCATTCATCGTCAATAGATTTCTTGCAGCTTGCACAGCAGTCTGTATAAGGTACACAAAGCTCAGGCGACTCTATTGAGGTATCCAAAGATGTTTCTTCATTTTTGATAACTTCCATATCGCTCAGATCATCGAGGAACTTGTATAGCCCATCTGTAAAATTCTGCTCTCGTTCAACCTTGAGAGCACCCTGAAGGCATATTCTGATCAGTAGCTTCAGATAATGAGCTAAGCCAGTGACTAAGGCCAATAGTTCTTGGGTGACACCGAGTTTTCGAACGCCTGTCTCTTGCGTTTTAGAGAGCAGGGAAAAGAAAGCCACAATTTTCTTACAGAGTAACTTTGCTTCTCGAGTATAAGAGAGGCCTAAGAAATGTCAGAAAATGTCATATAAACTCCCAATATAACATGCCTTTTGGCCCAACTTTGGCCATAGTTGCATCTAGCCTATCTGCAGAGAGAAAAAGAATATCAACGTGCCAAATAAACTTTTTGGCTACCAAGACCCCATCAACATAAGCACCATTACTAACATGCAGCAACATGTCTGATATGCAGGCAGCGGAAGATTCTTCAAAAGTTGAGAGAACACTCCATATCCTGTAAACTTTCTTCTCCATCTTCTCCTCTTCGATCCTAATATCTTTTCGCCCTTCTTCGCCAGATGCATCATAATCAAAATCATGAGGCTCCTCTTCCTTAGGGTCTGGAGGCGATCCAGCCGCCAATCTCACGTTCCAGAATTTATGTATCATATAGCACTCGGGATGCCAGTGCTGGTTTTGGCCATTCCGAAATATCTCTACAAATTGTTTCAAAATAGCAGTACAACAACCATTACAGCGTTGAGCAAAGTGTGTCGAGTAGTGATAATGACAGTATACCTGCCCTGAATGCTCATAATAGCTATCCTGTGCGCCGAAAGCGGTTGGGCAAACAGAGCAAGTAAAATGGTCAATGTGATACTTTTTATCTAGTGCAGTAATGTAAGAGCCTCGAAGTGCACCCTTGCACTTATAGCAAATTAGATCTAATCTTCGAAAGTAATCTGTCTCGCATAAGGGATACTGGCCCCCACCATTCTCTTCATCAACTGGGAAAAACTTAGATGCTACTATTTGACTGCAATCCTGTAGTAAAATTAGTGTGGGCAAGAGAGGTTGACATAGGATACTGACCCGACACCGAAAGCAATCTAGATGAAATGTACCACCCAGAGCACGAACAAATTGCCCAGTCAATGCCTCACCACATTTCTTGCAGAGCCGCATGTGGCCAGAAGGGGTTCTTCCACTGCCAGTGCGTGACGAATTGTGCTCTCTATTTATGTTTTTTGGTAGGCTACTTTCCCGTTGTCTTCCTCTGGTACTTCCAGATCGCGATGATACCACTTTTTCGGAGCTCAGCGTACATAGAGGACGCGGTCGCGCGCTATCATGCACGGCGACTTCTTGTTCTAGTGGAGAGGGTTTCTTTCCATCGGAATGTAATAATTCATCCTGATTTTGTTTCATGATGTTTCTATTAGTATGTAAATAATTATCGCTTGTCCCATGCAGCTTTTCATCACGATCCTCGGTTTGGATTCCCTCGGCCTGAGATTCCATTATGGTGGGCCGACGTTGCGATTCCCCTCCTGTGGAACCACTGCGATGGCTTGTGCAAGTAAACCGAAATCCCAGTTTCCAAATTTGGCAGAATTTAAACAGTGAAAACCTCTGAAAGAAAGTCGCTCGTGTACCTTGACCCAGCGCGAGATTTTAAAGGCTCTTTGTCTTCGTATTCGAAATTATTGTGAGGTTCCCGGGTCGCAGGGGCCGCTATTCTCACCGATTGTCCTCATGAAATTATCAGATTTCACAAAACTTGGAGCATTAACCATTCCTAGATATCGAAGCGACAGTCTAGATTGTAAGAAGCTCCAGCGATGGCGAATAGTTAGTTAGCTGGTGAAGCTAGGGAGGGCGTGGTCAAATGAGCTTGGTACAACTAGATCGGGGCACCGCGTTAGAGAACCTCGAAGCGAGTTACAATAAAACGAAAAATATAACATGGCCTCCAGTGGACACTACCGCTTTCCTCACACGCCTTTTTCAAGCTAAATATCAAATCTAGAGGTAAATTGTCCGTAATTACAACTAGGCTCCTTTAAGACGACATGAATTGAAGGAAAAGCCCTGTTGGAACACAGATCAGGCATTCAGAACAACGCAGTTTTACCATGCCATGAAAGCAGAACTGGGATTAATTACGAATGGAATATAATTAAATTTAAGTCCCCACTGAATCTATGATAATGAAGGACTGCTCGAAATGGACAAAATGCTACAAAATTTACTTGTTTTTATGTGTCTTTTAATTACGAATAATTTCGCGGCACGGTGCTTTAATGTGTGAATATCTGTTATAAATTACGAAAACTAATAATTAGAGTATCTGGCGGTTAAGTCGAACAAGAACGTTGTCATTTCTCTCGTCGTGGTCCCAGGAAAGCTAGTTAGCTATTACTATTGACATACAAGTCGTGATATACAGCTCGTAATCCAGAACTTGTACTAGGTCATTTCATCAAAGTGATATATTTATTTCAGGTTTGAGTTGATGGTTACTCTCCGTATACAAAGTTTAGTGACTCGCGACATTTACCACAACACATTGCTGAATTCTTTCACTTACTGGACTGAGGGAATAAAAGTTTTCATCAGTTGACTTTCCGAGATGGGTTTCCAAGGATAAAATTCCATTATTAATTCGAAGTAAAATTAGCTCGAATCTATATACATTTTGTGTGGTATATTTTGCAGATTCTGCAGTCTATCAAGCTTCTTACCTAGACTTGGTGGTAGTAATATAGCATAGAATCACAATATATTGTCAATTGTTTCGATATTTTTATGTTGGGATCAATCGCTGCTTGGCTCATGGAATCATATTGTTAGTTCCTTCGCAATAATAGACCAAGACAATTGTACATAACTGGGATTCTTTTAATTCTGTAAATAAAACGCGATAACACTCGTACTTTTACGCCATTAAATACTCCAGTTTTACAGCACATAGAGTGCGGCTAAAAATTCTTTTTATAAAAATTTGAGAGAAATACCTTATTTAAAGAATCTCTGGAGTATCTACAAAACCTTGTTTAAAATTTGAAGGCAAAATACTCTACTTCGTCCATCTAATCTTCCAATAGTGTAATCTTTTTGCGGAGGACTGGTTGTGCTAAGCTATGGCGGTTTTCAAGTTTGCATCTGGGTTAAGTGTGGTTTGTATGGGGACAATGTAGGTATAATTCTAATTATTCGAGTATCACAACAGGACACTCTTGAAATTCAAAGGCAATTGGCACGTTTCTGTGATTTAAACTAACTGGATAGGTCGAAGAAAGATAATTGACTTCGGTTGTCTCCAGCCGGAAGGAACGGCTGGGTGGATTAATTCTCCGGCCTCAGAAGCTAGGAACGAAGCTACTTGCGGATAGGTTTCTAGATTGACAGATTGGCAAGTTCTACCTGTGTCAGGCTGACCCTGGCCGAGCTTGGGCTGCTGGTAGGGCGAGGCTTATTGAAAATCTGACACAACTGGATCATGACGGCTGACGGCCAACCTTACAAGAGACTAGTCCCAGCTGGATGATTGGTACAGTAATGCTGGCCGGATCTATCTACCCATATAAGCGTTGAATCAAGCCTATCTTCCCCCCATTCCGATAGGTCGAGGATACATGCATATCCCTGTCCCTCCTTGTCCTTGCCTCCAAAGATACGTTTCAAGCAAAGGTTCGCAAGGTAAACCCATTGAAAACCCCGCAAGATATGACAGCGATGATACTTGGGATAGAGATGACCTGAGACTATCATTAAACAACTACATATCGTACGTTGGAAATGAGAACACCGGAATCGTAGAGGGTAGCAGGAATATACCATTATTGCGCCTAGTGGAGATTCCTGAAGCTCTTTTAACTCATAATTTGGCTGATAAGATAAGTGATGATGATGATGATGATGATGATGATGATGATGATGGGATGATTGCCAGTTTTTTTTCATTTACATCCTTGATTGCTAGTCGTGCAGTCGTTCTTCGATACATATCCATGACTATCTCAGCAAAGCCATTTAAGGTGGCGGCAGTTTCGGCGGAGAGAGTTAGGATTGTGACTATCTGCTGCCAGGATCATTGATAATCAGATGACATGAGAAGGATGGAGATGGGATAGCCCTCGGTAAATTCAATCTTCTCTGCATTGGTGGACGCAATAATTATTTTTAGCCTGTTGGGACCACTCGTTAAGCTTGGCAGGCCTGGGCTGAGGGGCCAAAACTTGCCTACCAGCTGTCATAGATGAATGGCACATCTCATAAGGTGAATACTTCGCTTGTGACCCGTTCTAGAAGGAGCCGAAGATGCGGCTGCTCACTAATCCGTGACCAAATAAATGACTACCCTGCAAGTATTGACATTTACCTGATATTATTCTCTCCATGACTTCTCATAAGTATTTCAAATCCACATCTACAGTTAAAGAGTTTGCTTTCTCCGTCATTTTAATTATGTTTAGTCACGGGAAACGGATCGATTAGCCCCCAGCATCTGATGCGCTCTGTGATTGTTTGCTCAAAAGACTTTAACGTCTAGTCAACCCACAGCAAGTTTTTCATAGAATTTTGTCGTATAACTGAGCACGTAAAAGTCTATGTAGCTAACAGTAATTTGCCTGCAGCAAGATGACTGATGGTCGGATAACGATTCTGAGAGTAATCGTACTGGGAGTTAACCGCATTGATTGACAATAGTCTTATGGATTAATACGAGATCTCAGCCGTCAGATTAGCACTCACAGAATCGTTCTCTTTTGTTCTCATTCACACTGTGAACACTGTTAAAAATCGATTCAAATTTTAGAGTCATAATCTCTGGCGAGAGAGGTCTGCAAGAATTCTATTCACCAGAATGCATGGACCCATCAATGTTCAAAATTAACAGACTCAAGTTAAACGGGCTCTACAAGAAACGAGTCTCTTTCAGTCATAGGATCCACCTCATGTGTACCCCTTCGAGTTCTCATCTTAGGTTAGATATTTTTTTTCTTATCCACTTTTTCGATGACATCAGAGCCAGATTAGTTCCAAGAGTAGAACCGTTGTGTTATCCATGTAACTTAGCATGGTAGATGCTTAAAGTGGAGGGCAAGACAGAACACCTATACGCAGTGTCCTCTACGAACCTGGGAGTGAAATATTCTCTCAGAGCCAAGTTCAGTCAAATTTCCCAATACCAAACAAGTTGGCCCATGAGGCAATGACTCAAAATACTCCACCGTCTCAATCTCACTTTCAACGAAATCGATTCCTACCTAATCCTCATCAAGTCTAAAAGTATGACCTAGCAATCCTCATTCCAATGATCACACCTCTTGTCGACTTTCTCTGGCCTCAGCTGGTCGCCAGATTCACGCCCACGTCGATATTTACACCCGACGGAGGAATCAAAGCGTGGCACAAAAATCTGGAAGACAGTTCTTTGGGATAGGCGTGAAGGTATTCAGGGTAAGTTGATAAGATGATGCAGAGGATGGATGCAGTCTCTAAAGGACGTGAAATTTCGAATTTTGGCAAGGAGAATTTACGAATTGAGCTTTTGCGTGCCAAGTCTTCGGCTGCGAGAGTGCGGGCGACACTATAAACATCGCCATGGTTGGATGGTGCGGTGGTACATCGTCTTGGCCGGTCTGCCAAGTAAGGTCTGGATAGCTTGGACACGAATCCCACTTGAAACAGTAGATCGCTGGTTCAAGTCCAGCAAAACACAACCACATTTCTCGCAGCGCAGGTATGCATGGATGACGAAGGCATGCTTGGATAACCAAAGGTTTTGAAATTCCCTTTGGTGGGTACTTACGGAGGAGGGTCGACTGTTTGTGTAAGCGAACATACCTCGTATTGGTGTTTGCGAATGAAATCCAGTGTATGAGTGTCTCTAACGTCAAAAGAGTCATCCCGCATGTATACATAGAATCGGTCATGTGTCAAAGCTCTATAGCTGAATACACATTAAATGATTTAAAAAAAAGATGCTTAAAGTCACGTCAAAATGGATGCACGTGACTGTTGGACTAAACCGTGGGTTGTTCAATGTGTAATGCATGTTTTATTTATTGTTTATTCATTTAGGTGTTGGAAAATATACTCTGTACGATATTATATGAATAAATATGATGAAGTGAAGAAGTCTTGATATTTTACACCCTTGTGAACATTGGACTTTTTTTTTTTTTGCATCAGATTTTAATTGCGTATGCAGCTATCTAGCTATGACACAATATCAAAGAAAAGTACAGAATAGATGATTCAACGTAAAGGAAGAGCACTCATGCCTCAAATTTCAGTTGCAAGTACCACTGCGAAGTTATGGTGGCTTTTTCTTCACCCCAAGTCAACCCTCATCCGTGAATACCCACTCAGGGGAACGTCTCAAAAACCCTGAGTTATCTAGACATGCCTCCGTCATCCATCAACTTTTCTCCGCGCGATATGTGATCTGAGGTGTCTCTTTCCCAAGTGAAATAGGTGCCCAAGCTACTCAAACTATACCAGAGAACATC